CCCCCGGCCCCGCCCCCGGCGCCACCATCTCCTTCCTGTCTCTGCGAATCTGGTTCCTCCGGGTCCTCGTGAGTGGGGTCATCAGATAGCGCGCGTCCTTCCTCGCCTGCCTCCACGGGGCGCAGTGTCCTCGAGGGCATCCACGTGATGGCCGGTGCCAGTGTCCTTCCTTTCTAAGGCCGAGTGACAGCCCGTCTGGAGGGACCGTGTCTGTTCTCCAGCGGACGCAGTTGCTTCCACCCCCGGCCTTGCGGATAGTGCTGCCGTGAGCGTGGGTGTAAACCCCCTCGGAGACCCCGCTTTCAGTTCTTTCCGACGCAGACCCAGAAGTGGAGCTGCTGGGCCCCGTGGTCGTTCTGTGTTTGACTTTTTGGGGAGCCTCTGCACTGTTTTCCACGGCAGCTGCCCCATTTTCCTGTGGTCCGCCAGCTACACACACGGATTCCGGCCCTGGCCGGTAGCTCAGTTGGTTAGAGTGTCCTCCCGATGTGCCAAGGTCGATACGCCAAGGTCGCGGGTTTGATCCCCGGTCAGGGCACATACAGCAGTCAACCAGTGAATTCATACAGAAGTGGAGCAAGAAATCGATGTTTCTCTCTCTCTCTCTCTCTCTCTCTCTGTCTCTCTGTCCCCCCTCTAAACAATCAGTCGATAAATTTTTTAAAAAAAGGATTTCAATTCCCCCATATCCTTGCCAACTCGTATGTTTTTCTTTTTCTTTGGGAGCATCTGTCCTCCCTGAGCAACCCGCCAGGAGATTCTGGTGCTCGCTCTGTTTGGAGACTTCAGCCCCGAGGCCCTGCCACCTCTCGCTGGCCATTGTCCCCACGTTCTGGTGAACCTGCAGCTGAGGACGGTGGTCGTGGTAGGTCCATGTGGTGGTCGAGCACTGAACTTGGAGTCTATCAGAAGACACATTGATTTTTTTTTTTTTAAATATATATTGATTTCAGAGAGAGAGGAAAGGAGAGGGAGAGAGAGATAGAAACATCAATGATGAGAGTCATTGATCGGCTGCAGCCCACAACCCGGGCATGTGCCCTGACCGGGAATCGTACCCTGATCTCCTGGATCCTAGTTCGACGCTCAACCGCTGAGCCACGCCCGGCAGGGCCACATTGATTTCACCTGGCGGTGGAGGGGACAACAGGACCTTCCTCACTGCTGCCTGTGGTGCCAAGTGACCCTTCATCACACCGTGAGGGGCTCTGTGCCAGTGGGGAGGACCCGGGAGTGCCTGGGCCATTGGAGTGAGGGGGACCCCAGTGCTCAGTGCCTCCCCTCCGCTGGGGCGTGGCCGCCTGTGAGTGGCCGGCGTGTGCCCACTGTGCCCGGCCTGTGACCTCTGCCCCGTCGGCGTTTGCTGTGCGAGGCTGCCTGGATGAAGCAGGGCTTGGGTGATGGCACGGCTCACTGGGCAGACCTGCGCTGTCCCCCGCCCTTTGGACTCTGGTGGGAGGGGCCCCAGACGTCACTGCTGACGGAGCCCTGGAGCTGGACGGCTCGGAACGCGGACCTGGNGGGCGCCTGCCTGTGGGTCTGGCGAGTGCGAGAGGACAGCAGCTCTGTGTGGGCACCTGAAGTCTCATTGCTGCGCGTTGGGGGATGGCTGACTTGGTGGGACAGTTACCTGGCCAGTTTCTTTTGTTTCAACCCCTTTTCTCGACTGGAGAAAAGGACTCTCTTTTGGGCACATCTGTCACTGTGTCACCCCCCTTTCCTCCCTCCCCCAACGCTGACAACGAGGTTTGAGGGGTCTTAGGAATGCGGGTGTATTTGCCGATTCACCGGCAGACGGGCCCTCGGAGCAGGCCCTGGCGCTGAACGCAGCTCCGTGGCTTCGTGGTGAAGGAGTGGGTGTGACCTGGGCGGGCGCAAGGTTTGGTGGCCCCTGGCTGAGTCCCTGTGCAGGGCTGGCGGGCAGTGCAGGCCGGAGAGCTGACGGGAGACCCCACTTCCTGAGCGGACGGTCCCACTGAGCGTCACCCTGTCTCCTCCAGACTTGCCGAGGCCCCAGCTCAGCGAACGGAGGGACCCGGACCCCACTCGAATGCAGATGCCGCCGGGAAACCCGCTGCTGCTCTCCCACACCCTGCAGGAGCTGCTGGCCAGGGACACCGTGCAGGTGGAGCTCGTCCCCGAGAAGAAGGGCCTCTTCCTGAAGCATGTGGAGTACCAGGTTTCCAGCCAGGTACCCGTGGCGGGGTGGAGGAGTGTGGCTCAGGAGAGGCAGCGGGCCCTGCGGGGGGCGAGGCCCGCGTCTCGCTGGGGCTCAGCCCCCCTCGCTCCCTGTGCCTGCGATGCTGCTGCTTAGGAGGCTCGTGGGCAAGATCCCGAGTGGAGGTGGGCACCCCGACCTCTTGTTTTCTCTTCAAACGCACAGTTAACGTTTTTTATAGACTCTAGTTGGTGCACTTTTTATTTATTTAATCTTTATTTTTGAAAAATATATCTTTATTGATTTCAGAGAGAGGAAGGGAGAGGGAGAGAGAGAAAGATCCACGATGAGAGTCACTGATTGGCCGCCTCCTGCAGGCCCCTGGCTGGGGATCGAGCCCGCAACCCGGGCCTGTGCCCTGGCTGGGAATCAACTGGGATCTCCTGGATCCTAGGTCGATGCTCAACCTCCGAGCCACGCCCGGCCGGGCTGGTTTGTGCACTTTTAGGTCACAGCAGAATTAAGCAGAAGGTACAGAGATTTCCCATCCCCCCCGACCCCACGCACAGCCGCCCCCACCGTCAGCATCCCCACAGAGTGGTCACTCGTGACAGCCAGCGAGCCCACAGTGACACGTCACTCACCCAGGCCCACAGTCCCCGGTAGGGTCGCTCGGGGTGTGCGCAGCCTGTGGGTTTGGACGAATGCACAGTGACACTCTTGTGGTGCCTGCAGAGCAGCTTCCCTGCCCCACAGGACCTTGTGCTCCGCCTGCGCACCTGCCTCGTCCCCGTAACCCCTGACCGCCACTGCCCCGTCACTGTCTCCATGGCTTTGCCTCTTCCCGAGTGTCACCGAGCTGGAATCCCCCGGTGCACTGTAGCCTCCTCAGACCGGCTTCTCCGCTGAGTGATGCTGGCGATCACTCAGGACCCAGTCACGCTGGATTTTAGACGTAGCCCCACGCGCACGTTTCGCGTGCAAGCTCTCACGTTCGACCCGGGCTTGGTTCACGGGGACCGGCCTCGTGCAGCTGCGGCTTCCCCGGCGGCGGGTCTGCAGGCTCCTGGGCCCCACCGTGAGCACCGCCTCCGTCCGCGCCCGCGTGTGGTCTGCCGGGCTCGGGGGCTGCCTCGGGAGGCTGGAGCTGCTCTGTCAGCTTTACCGGAGGGTGTTGAGGACAGCCCCCGGCACAAAGTGAAGAAGGCGCTGTTCTTCCGTGCCACGGCTTGGGTGGGACGGTGCCCACCCCTGGAGTCGAAAACTCCCACGGAGGGCCTTGTCTGTCCCGGAACCCAGAGTGAGGTAGTTAAGTGACCCCCGGGCTGTGCAGTGCGTGGAGGTTGTCGTATCGGACGCGGGGAAGGCGGGGCCCCTCTTGGTCTCGGCCTGTGAGGGAAGCTGAGGACGGGTTCTGCTGGGGACGGACGAGCCGGAGCCGCGCCTGAGTGGGCCCTTGCCTTGCAGCGCCTCCAGTCTTCCGTTTACCGAAGGTACAACGACTTTGTGGTCTTCCACCAGCTGCTGCTGCAGAAGTTCCCCTACCGCATGGTGCCCGCCCTGCCGCCCAAGAGGATGCTGGGAGGTACCGCTGGGCCCGCTGGGGGCAGGGAGCAGGCCCCTCTCCAGGGTGCCAGGGTCCGGTCCACTCGTGGCCCCTGGCTGACCTCCCGGCGTGACGCGCGTCCCTCAGTAACCCCGGTCACAGCCGGCTCCCGGTCGCGGCTGCGCCTCGGCTCCCGGGCCTGGTAGGCGAGCGTGACGTCGCCCGGTGCCTGTGGCCTCCATGGGCCTTCTGCTTGGTGACTGACACACGGGGAGGTCCCCGCTGTGCTGGGGAGAAGCAGCGGACCCCGGTGCTCCTCTCTGGCCGGGGCCAGGACGGGCCGGGGCTCCTGATGAGGCCCAGGGCGCTGTCTGTTCCGTCTGCCCCTGCGCAGCCGGGAGCCGCAGCGGTGGCACCGTAGCATTAGCTGGTTTCTCGGAGAGCCGGGGAGCGTGGAGGGGAGGCGTCTAGTCTAGCCTGCGCCTTGAAGGAAATAAGGAGTGCCACATCTTCACTGTTGCACCTGCAGGTACCGGGCAAGGCGAGGTCACGGGTCCCGGCCCTTCTGCACTGGCCTTTTTCTCCCCGGTTGTGGGCTCAGGGAGGGGGCTCTTGCCCCCTGTCCTGTCTTAGTGACCTTGGTCCTGCAGCCTGTTCCCAGCTTGAAATAAAATTCGATGGGAGGGTGTCTAGGGCCGACCAGCTGATTTTCTGCCATTTTCCTGATCATTATAAAGTGACAATGCACTTAAATGGGGAAATAACTTGAGATTTAATACAGTTCTCCAGTTTTTTCAAAACAATATGTTTTTATTGATTTCAGAGAGGAAGGGAGAGGGGGAGAGAGAGAGAAACATCAGTGATGAGAGAGCCATTGATCGGCTGCCGCCCGCACGCCCCCGACTGGGGATCAGCTCGCAGCCCGGGCACGTGCCCTGACCGGGAATCGAACCGGCAGCCTCCTGGTTCACAGGTCGATGCTCAGACGCTGAGCCACACTGTCTGGGCACAGTTTCCCGTTTTCAGCATTCTGAAATCTTAACGTTGTACGTGAACACTTCCCCGTCTCCCGGTCACCAGCTACCGCAGAGTCTAGAGAATGCGATTTCTCATGTCCCACGTGGGCTGCAGAACAAACTGCTTGCGTGATGTTGACGGCGGACGCTCAGGGCAGGCGGGGCCGAACGTCCCGGGGAGGTGACCGCTTGCAGAGACCCAGGCATCAGAGTCGGGCCTGGAAATGCAGGCCCTGGGCAAGCCTGGTCATGGGTCCAGCATTTGTGACAGCCGGCCTTCCTCCTGGTCCCCAGGGGAGCTTTTCAATAATATTTTAAATACTATTTCTATTTGAGGTTAGACTTAAGTGCCCTTAATGTACACGTCTGCTTTCCTTCCTTGAAGTGAAAATATTTGGCCCAAATGAGATCTATTAATTGGCTCCTCCACAGGGTGAGCTGCGCGATGGGAATGGGAAAACCGGGTTGAATTAACGCGCGTGTGGCCAGGCCTGTCCTTGCAGGAGGGCTACAGGGAGGGGGCTTCTGTGGGGCTCAGACCCTGTGTGGTCGCAGCAGGCTCGGGGTTTTCCTCTGCCGCTCCTGACCCACGTGTATGTGGGGCAGGCGAGGGGGTGGGGGCTCTGCTCTTCCTCCTGCAGCCTCCTTGGGCGTGATGTCCGCTGCCCTGGGCTGGCAGTGCCGCGGGCTCTGGGTTCCTCTCTGAGATGCTCTGAGCACTCAGCCTGGACGGCCTCTGCCCGAGGGCACAGGGTCCCGCCCACAGGGGGTGCGAGCACTGGGCTGTGTTTGGTGACCCGTGTCCTCTCTCCAGCGGACAGGGAGTTCATTGAAGCCCGGAGGAGAGCCCTGAAGCGCTTCATCAACCTGGTGGCCCGGCACCCCCCCTTCTCAGAGGACGTGGTCCTCAAGTTGTTCCTGTCCTTCAGTGGTCCCGTGAGTACATGGGAGACGTGTGGTCCTGTCTCTAAGCCCTTGTGTTTCTGCTGCTCTCTGGCCCTAGTCCCTGGTTTGGCTGCCACGAAGGCTCTATTTCAGCAGCGGCCAAGACTAAGACTGTTCTCTTGCCAGGCAGCAGGCTGGGCAGGATGCTAAGAGGCTCCTGGGTCTGGACTTTGCAGGGTTTTGTGTCCGTGTGGAGCGGGGAGTTCTCAGTGCAGCGAGTGGGCCCTGAAGCTGGTACACGGGGAGGCTGTGGTTTGGAGGGTTTACGGACGTGCTGGAGACCCCGATGTGAATAAGCATCTACTTTAAACAAGGGCCACGTTTGGGAAGCGCCACTGGACCACCAGCTGAGCTGCAGGGATGTGTCCTAGGAACAGCCTGCGAGCACGTTAATTTCAGTTGGGAACCAGGGTGGCAGGTTCTTCCCCAGACCATGGTCACGCGTCGAGATTAGGGTCAGGAAGCTGAGGCACAGCCACCACCCTGGCCGCAGCCCTGTCCCCAGGACAGTCAGCTTCTCCGCAGGAGGGAGGTTTTGCCCAAGGGACCCTCTCATTGTGGGGGTGGGATGGAGGTGGCTCCCACCAGGACACGTTGCTGGTGGGATAGGTGTGTTCCTGGCCCCTCTGTTAGAGGGACCCCTCCTTGAGCAGGGACCTGGGAAGGGGCTGGACCCCACCCTCACCCCTGCTGCAGGAGGGCCCGGGTCAGGGGGCAGAGGCAGAGGCGGCGGAGCCTGGCTTTCTCTTCCCCTCACTTCGTAGAGGCACAGGGGCCTCTGACCCCTAGAGAAGGCCCCCCGTCCGTGGGCGACAACCCTAAAGCTTGAGAAGCAGCGAGGAGATTATGGGATGCTTATGCTCAGGTGGACGGTGGAAACTCACGTCTCCCGGAGAGGCCTGAACCCTGCTTCGGAGCGACCGGTCTCCTGCTGGCTGCTGGGCGGCTGCTGTCGGCCGTAGTGGTCAGCTTGTTTCCTCTCGCAGGACGTGCAGAGCAAGTTGAAGGAGTCGGCTCAGTGTGTTGGTGACGAATTCCTGAACTGCAAGCTGGCTACTCGGGCCAAGGTACGTGTCTGGTTCTGGTCACGACTCCCCCTTAACCAGAGCAGTGCCCCTCTCACCTTGGCAGCGTGCCGGGGTGAACTGAGCTCCGCAGCAGGCTCTCTCACGTCACCCTCACGTCGTGCCGATGTCACGTCCGCTGTGCAGGGAGGCGACAGGTCAGAGACGCCATGTCCGCTGTGCAGGGAGGGGACAGGTCAGAGACGCCACCACCTACAAGGCCGCAGATGTCTGAGCTTTGCGACCCGGAGCCCCCAGGCTCTCGTGCTGTGACCTGAGGCTTGTGACTCAGACATGTGCTTGGTCACCAGCCTTTTGTCTTTGAGGGGATTGATTGTCACCTAAGTTTATTTTAAATGTAGTTAATCTCATCTTTTTCTGAAAAGGATTAAGGTAGCTGTTTGATAGCTTTTTTTCCTTCTTACCTGCTTCTCCATACAAAAACCCAGACTCTTTTACCTTTGTTTTACTCCCTAAGCTTTCCGTTTTCTAAGCACGATGTAGTTAGTAACAGTTAATATTCACGCTGGTTAAAATGGGGGCTGCAGAGGCCTCCCCTCATGTGGACGCCTGTCTGGATTCCATGCTCCTCATTTCAAGTCCAAGGTTATTAGTCGAGCATTGTCGTCAGGACCTCCAGTTTGACCAGTTTCGGTGGACACTAGGGTCTAGCCTCGTGGGGGTCATTCAGTTTGTGCAACAATGTTTCTGTTTCTCTTGGACACAAGGGGAGGTGGAGGGCCATCTTCGGCCCCGGGCATGTCTCCGCATGACCTGGGTTTGGCAGTCTGTCCATCTCCTGTGGGGCATCTTTGCTGAAAGGCGTTACATGCCTGGTGATGCAGTTTCCCTCCTCCCTGGTCAGGACTTCCTCCCAGCCGACATCCAGACTCAGTTTGCGGTTAGCCGGGAGCTGATTCGAAATATCTACAACAGCTTTTACAAGCTCCGTGACCGGGCCGAGCGGATGGCGTCCAGGGCCATTGACAATGCTGCTGACCTCCTCATATTTGGGAAGGAATTAAGGCAGGTGGCCCTGTTAGGTTCCACAGCGCCCATGGGTGGGAGGGGCCTTTTGGTGCTGGGCTCATGCATTTACCATAACACCCCTCGTTCTGACCCGTTCCACTCCAAAGGGGAAGGGGAGGGCTGGGCAAGTGGGAGAGCATATCGGGAAGAAAAGAGATGGAGAATTTAGGCAGAGAAACGTGGATTCCCACACTCGGAGGCTCACCAGGGTCTCGAGGGCCATGTTCCCTGTTGTCAAAATTAAAAAGATTGGTATGACTTTGGGAAGGACACGGGGGCTGTGGATGCTCCCTCCGCCCTGGAGGAGAGGCGGGCCTTCACCTGGACTCCGCCCTGCACAGGGCAGCGGGTCTTATGGGGAGGAGTGGGAGCAGCAGGCCTGGGCTGAGGCCCCTTCTTTTTGGCAGGCCCCCAGACTTCCCTGCAGCCACTCTGGGTAGTGAGGGTCCAGGTCAGGGGGTGCAGGGAACCAGGATAGCGTGGTGTTGGGGCAGAGGGAGGTGTCCGGTTGGACTGGCTTCCACGCCCTGAGTGTCTCCTCTGTTTTGTTTTGCCTCAGTGCTTTAGGGTCTGACACGACCCCGCTCCCCTCCTGGGCCACTCTGAACAGTAGCACGTGGGGGTCCCTGAAGCAGGCGCTGAAAGGCCTGTCTGTGGAGTTTGCGGTGCTGGCCGACAAGGCTGCGCAGCAGGTGAGTGATTCGTCCCGACGCTCCTGCTCCTGCTCCTCTCCCTGCTCCTGCTCCCGCTCCCCTCCTGCTCCTGTTCCTGCTCCTGTTCCTGCTCCTGCTCCTCCTGCTCCTCTCCTGCTCCTGTTCCTGCTCCTGTTCCTGCTCCTGCTCCTCCTGCTCCTCTCCTGCTCCTGTTCCTGCTCCTGTTCCTGCTCCTGCTCCTCCTGCTCCTCTCCTGCTCCTGTTCCTGCTCCTGTTCCTGCTCCTGCTCCTCCTGCTCCTCTCCTGCTCCTGTTCCTGCTCCTGTTCCTGCTCCTGCTCCTCCTGCTCCTCTCCTGCTCCTGTTCCTGCTCCTGTTCCTGCTCCTGCTCCTCCTGCTCCTCTCCTGCTCCTGTTCCTGCTCCTGTTCCTGCTCCTGCTCCTCCTGCTCCTCTCCTGCTCCTGTTCCTGCTCCTGTTCCTGCTCCTGCTCCTCCTGCTCCTCTCCTGCTCCTGTTCCTGCTCCTGTTCCTGCTCCTGCTCCTCCTGCTCCTCTCCTGCTCCTGCTCCTCTCCTGCTCCTCCTGCTCCTCTTCCTGCTCCCGCTCCTCTCCTNGGCGCTGAAAGGCCTGTCTGTGGAGTTTGCGGTGCTGGCCGACAAGGCTGCGCAGCAGGTGAGTGATTCGTCCCGACGCTCCTGCTCCTGCTCCTCTCCCTGCTCCTGCTCCCGCTCCCCTCCTGCTCCTGTTCCTGCTCCTGTTCCTGCTCCTGCTCCTGCTCCTGCTCCTCTCCTGCTCCTGCTCCTCTCTTGCTCCTGCTCCTCTCCTGCTCCTGCTCCTGCTCCTGCTCCTCTCCTGCTCCTGCTCCTGCTCCTGCTCCTGTTCCTGCTCCTGCTCCTCTCCTGCTCCTGTTCCTGCTCCTGCTCCTGCTCCTGTTCCTGCTCCTGCTCCTCTCCTGCTCCTGTTCCTGTTCCTGCTCCTGCTCCTGCTCCTCTCCTGCTCCTGCTCCTGCTCCTGCTCCAGGGAACGCCCTGTGCCTGGGCCCACGGGAGCGGCTCCTTAGATGCTCGTCGGAGTGCTGAGTCTCAAGTGAGGGACCACTGTTCTTGGGTCACAACCGCACACCCCCAGCTGTTCTGGGTGGCTCCCCATGGGCCATTTATGCTCTTAAGAGGGTTGATGGTGACAAAACAAATGGGATTCTAGTCTCTTGAGGCTTTGCTGAGATGTCACCTGCCCTTAAAAATGTCACCTTGGCCTGGCAGGTGTGGCTCAGCAGTTGAGCGTCGACCTATGAACTAGGAGCTCACTGGTTCGAGTTCCCGGTCAGGGCACATGCCCGGGTTGTGGGCTTGATCCCCAGTCGGGGGCGTGCAGGAGGCAGCCGATCAGTGACTCTCATCATTGATGTTTCTCTCTTTCTCTGAACTCAATAAAAACATATTTTAAAAAATGTCACCTTGGACCTCACTTCTGGGTGGACCAGGTCCCATGTCCCTGCCCTGCTTTCACCCACACAACCTCCGGAAAAGCGTCTGCTGCACGGGCAGGTGCTGTTTGTAGGAATCTATGAAGATCTTGTGGTTGTTGGGGATCAATCTGAAGACACTCTGTTTACCGTCAGGCTGAGAGGGCCATCTGGCTGCTCTTCTGCAGTAAAACTTACATAGTTTTCAGGGTGTTAGTTGGCTGCCTAGTTCTTGGGGAGATGGTGTTTAGGCTGCTAGCAGATGGTTTTAAATGAATTGGAACAACATGAACTGTGAAGGCCTGCGGCCTGCCTGACAGTCGAGCTGCTTGGTAGCCAGCTGGAGACCCGCAGTGGCCTGGCGGGTCTGACAGTGCAGTTGGCGGCTTTCAGGCCCCAGGGGGCGCGAAGGGCCCAGGATGCCTCTTCCTGTTCATGGTCTGGAAAGTCCTGGGTTTTCCTTCTCTGTGGTCAGTGCCTGTGTGTTCCCTCTAGAAACTAGGTGGGGCGGCTTTGGTCTTAGAATTGGTGCTGGACCCGGGTCTCCAGGTCTGACAGGTGTGACAGTCTGAGGGAGGGCCAAGGACTCGGTGGCAGAGGTCTGGCCATAGGGAGAGGCGGGCGAGCTTAGGGACCTCGGTGGGCTCAGCAGTGTCCTGTGCTGGGACCTCGCTCAGGTTACTTTGTTCTCTGTTCCTGTTTCCCCATTGATTGAAAGCGAGCGGCTGGACTAGGTCATTAGAAACACTTTATTTCACCTGTTGGACCTATACTCAAAGCTCAGTCTGTAAAACATAAAAATGAAGCTACTGTTGTGGTAGGGCCCTCGGCCCGCACAGCCCCTCTTCCTAGGTAGCCTTGGGGTTTGGGGCGGGGGCACCACGAACCCCCAGTGCAGGATGGAAGTCCCTAAGGACATTTCTAGCACCTTTGCTGATTCAGACTTGGAGGCTGTTTCCACCTTGAACGGGGTCAGGCTTCTGATGTGAGACAAGCCCGTAGTTTGAGGCTCCTCCAGCTCTGAGGTTCTCTGATCGGATCTCACAAACGCTGCTTTGAAATTTCACGTCTGAAGAGGTGTCATTTCCTGCATAGTCCCACTGTCCTTGGTGGTTTTCACGTTGAAGTGAAATTTAATAGTTTTAACACGAAACTGGGTCAGACCAGCGACCCATCAGGCCTTTCTTCCCTTCACTCTGCTGAACAAATAGACATCTGAGGGTTGGTGTTCCTAGTTCTGTTCTCACCGGTCCTGGTTTTACTCTCCCCAGACCTGCTAGTGGGAGACCTAGGGGCTCTGTGCCAGCTCGACAGGTGAGACTCAGGTGAGGCTGTTTTTGTGGTGACAGCATCTGTGCTTTTGGTAAAGGAGCAGGTGTGGGTGGTTTAGGGACTTGTTAGCAGATGACACGACCAGGAGGGAGCCCTGAGCTCCCCCTGCCACAGACCGGGGAGCGGTGTGTGCCCCACTCTGTGTCCCTCTTCCAGTCAGGAGGGTACAGGGCACCTGTGGCCGCTGGGTATTTTCCTGTAACCTCAGTGATGAGAACCTCGATTCTGGGTGTGGGATCCAGTGGCCTGGAACCTCTGAACTCAGAGGTCCAAGGGACCCTGGGTCCCCAAGTTGGTGCCAGAGCCTGGGCAGGGGCCCCTGGCCCCCCTGCCACTGCTTGTATTCCCATTAAGCCTGCCCTTCTCACTTCTCGTCTGCTTCCTTCTGGCTGCACCCTCCCTGTGGGTTATGGGATGAACTTTCCAATGTTGGCCATACGAGCTCTAGATGTGGTAGTAGAGACTCAGTTTCCCCAGGAGCCGGGGTGCACCTGGAAGAGGCGCTCAGCTAACACCTGGGAGAGGCACTTGACTAACACCTGGGGGAGGTGCTCAACTGACAAGCTCCCAGTGTCAGGTGGACATTCGGGTCTCATAGGGCCTGCTGAGCTGCTGGGGAGGGCGTTGGAGCACCTGGTTCTCCTGGGGCCTGTGGGACATGTGGGCTTTGGAACGTGGGAGGGACAGGCCGTGTTGAACGGCGGGCATGGTGGGCAGGTAGCCTGGGGAGGCGAGGCCCCTGTTATCGCATGGCTGGGCTCTGTG